TCCCATATTTGACCCTAAAACCACCAAATAAGCTTTAAGAACCCCTAATCTGATCTCTTTACTTTATGGCAGTAGTTCTCAGAGTAGAGCCCCCATACCTACTGAATCTGAACCACAGGGGTGGGGTTAGCAATAAGTGTGGCTTTTTTGTTTGCTTTTTTTTTTATTATAGGCTTTTTAAAAATTGTATAGTTGACTTACAGTGTTGTGTTAATTTCTACTGTATAGCAAAGTGATTCAGTTATGTACATTCAGTTCATATATATATATATCTATACACACACATTCTTTTTCATATTCTGTTCCATTATGGTTTATCATAGGATACTGAATATAGTTTTCTGTGCTATAGAGTAGGACCTTGTTGTTTATCCATTCCATATGCTGTAGCTTACATCTGCCAACCCCCGTTTGCCACTCCATCTCCCCCAAAGCAACTATGAATCTGTTCTGCATGTCCATGAGTCTGTTTCATAGATAGGTTCGTTTGTCATATTTTACATTCCACATATATAAGTAATATTATATGGTGTTTATCTTTCTCTTTCTGACTTACTAGTATGATAATTCCTAATTGCATCCATGTTGCTGCAAATGGCATTATTTCCTTCTTTTTTATGACCGAGTAGTATTCCCTTGTATATATGTACCATGTCATCTTTATCCATTCATCTGTCAATGGACATTTAGGTTGTTACCATGTCTTGGCTTTTGTGAGTAGTCCTGCTATGAACATAGGTTGTGTATGTCTTTTTAGAGTTTTGTTTGATTGTATGCCCAGGAGTGGGATTGCTGGATCATATGGTAATTTGATTTTTAGTATTCTGAGGAACCTCCATACTGTTTTCTATAGTGGCTGTACCAATTTACATTTCCACCAATAGTGTAGGAGGTTTCTGTTTTTTCCACATCCTCTCTGGTAATTGTTATCTATAGAGTTTTTTTTTTTTTTTAAACTGTAGAGTTTTTAATGATGACCATTCTGACCAGTGTGAGGTGGTACCTCATTGTAGTTTTGATTTGCATTTCATTGATAATTAGCAGTGTTTAGCATCTTTTCTTGTGCCTATTGACCATCCATATTTCTTTGGAGAAATGTCTCTTTAGAGCTTCTGTCCATTTTTAGATTGGGTTGTTTGTTGTTGAGTTGTAGGAGCTGTTAATGTATTTTAGAAATTAAGCCTTTGTCGGTCACATTATTTGCAGATGTTTTCTCCCATTCTGTAGGTTGTCTTTTTGTTTTTTTATGGTTTCTTTTGCTATGCAAAAGTTTTTCCCATTTGTTTTTTTATTTCTATTGCCTTGGGAGACTGACCTAAGAAAACATTGGTACAATTTATGTCAGAGAATGTTTTGCCTATAATCTTTTCCAGGTGTTCCATGGTGTCATGTCCTATGTCTTAAGTGTTTAAGACATCTTGAGTTTATTTTTGTGTATGGTGAAAGGGTGTGTTCTAACTTTGATTTACATGCAATTGTCCAACTTCCCAATACTTGCTGAAGACTTTTTCTCATATGTTCTTGCCTCTTTTGTTGAAGATTAATTGACTGTGTATGTGTGGGTTTATTTCTGAGTCTCTATTCTGTTCCATTGATCCATATGGAACAGTTTTTGTGCCAGTACCACACTGTTTTGATTACTGTAGCTTTGTGCAAAAAGTATTGTCTGAAGTCTGCCTCCTGCTCTGTTCTTTTTCTTCAGGATTGCTTTAGCAATTCTGGATCTTTATGGTTTCATATAAATTTTAGGATTCTTTGTTCTGTGAAAAACAAACTTGTTAGGGATCACTTCAAATCTGTAGATTGCCTTAGGTAGTGTGGCCATTTTAACAATATGAATTCTTCCAATCTAGGAGCATGGGATATCTTCCCATTTCTTTGAATCCTCTTCAGTTTTCTTTATTAACAGTTTATGGTTCTCAGTGTGCAAGTCTTTAATTTCCTTGGTTGGGTCTACTGCTAAGTACTTTATTTTTGGATTGCAAATTTGAAAGGTGTTCTGGTTGTTTTGGATGTGATGTCCTGAAAATATCAATTAAATCTTACTATTCTATTGTATAGTTTAGAATCTCTTGCTTTATTGATCTTTTTAAAAGATCTGTCCATTGATGTGAGTGGGGTGTTAAAGTCTCCTACTACTACTATATTTTTGTCAGTTTATCCCTTTAAGTCTGTTAGTGCCTGTTTTATGTATTTGGGTGCACCTGTACAAAGGTCTGTCTGGTCAAGGCTATGGTTTTTCCAGTGGTCATGTATGGATGTGAGAGTCAGACTGTGAAGAAAGCTGAGCACTGAAAAATTGATGCTTTTGAACTGTGGTGTTGGAGAAGACTCTTGAGAGTCCCCTGGACTGCAAGGAGATCCAACCAGTCCATCCTAAGGAGATCAGTCCTGGGTGTTCATTGGAAGGACTGATGCTGAAGTTGAAACTCCAATATTTTGGCCACCTCATGTGAAGAGTTGACTCACTGGAAAAGATCCTGATGCTGGGAGGGATTGGGGGCAGGNTGATGGGAGCATTTAGTCCAACGTTTGACAATTAAGGTATTTATTGATACATATTTATGGTCATTTTAACCATGTTTTCATATTGATTTTACATTTTTTCTTTGTCTCTTTTTCTTTGTGTTGTTCTTTTGTGGTTTGTTTCCCTTTTGATTATGTTCTTTTTGGTTTTTGTGAATCTAGTGTATGCTTTGAAGTTGCCCTGTGTTTCAAGTATGTGGACCCCATCCTATATCTACTTGCTTCAGTTGGTAGTCATTTAGGTCAAACCCATTCCAGGAAGTGAAAAAAAAAAAAAAACCCTGCATTTTCTTACTCTTGTCCCACAGTTTATGATTTTGATGTCCTCTTTCACATCTTCATTCTTTTGCTGTTCATTGTAGTTATACCATCACTTTCACAAAAACATTTTCTTTTTTTTTCTTTAATCTGTATGTTAGCTTATTGAAGTGACTTACTTTCCAGTTGTGATTTTTCTCTTTGCTATCTGTTCTTACTAGTTTTCTATTTAGAGAAAACCTTTAATATTTGCTTTAGGATGGATTTAGTATTGCTGAATTCTTTTAGTTTTTGCTTATCTGAGAAATTCTTTATATCTCCTTCTATTCTAAATATAATCTTGCTGAGTAGAGTATCCTAGGATGCAGATTTTTCCCTTGTAGGACTTTCAATATATCTTGCCACTCCCTTCTGGCCTGCAGTGCTTCTGTAGAGTAATCAGCTGATTGCCTTATGGGAGTTCCCTTGTGATGAACTTTTTTTTTTCTTGCTGCATTGAGAATCCTCTTTATTTTGCCATTTTTATTATAGTACGTCTTGGTTTAGGTCTGTTTGAGTTTACTTTTATTTGGGCCCTTCTGTGCTTCCTGTACATGCATATTTGTTTCTCTAGGTTTGGGAGGTTTTCAGCCATAATTTCTTCAAATACATAATCCCCTTTTCTCTTTCTTCCCCTTCTGGAGCTGTATTATGTATAGATTGGCACACTTTATTATTATCCCATAGGTCTCTTATATTGCTTTCATTTCTTTTATTTGGCTGTCTGTTGTCTTGGTTGGGTGATTTCCATCTTCTTTTTTCCAGGTCACTTATCCTGTATTGTTTATTCTGCTCTTATTATGTTCAGTTTTGTCTCAAAAAATGAGTTTTCTTATTTTTCTTGGTTCCTCTTTATAATTGGTAGTTCCTTTAAGTTGGTGTCTGTTAGACTGAAGAGGTCTGTTACTGTGGTCTTGCAGGGCTATTTATATGTGGGACCATCCCTGTGTGGCTTGTGTGGGTTTAATATTTTTGGTGTAAGGACTGTTTTTAGTGCGGATGCCTGTTGCCTCTTTCCTCAGTGTGTGTTGGCCATTATCCCCCTGATGGGGGTGTGCAGATAGAGCAGCTGGTGTACTGAGTTCTCCGCGGCAGTGGCGGCTCATGGGCCGCCTGGAGCACACAATGGGAGCAGAGGGGGCTGGTGGCCACGCCTGAAGCCTGGGGCCTTGTGGCGGCTCACTGCCACTCCTGGAGATCATGGAGGCAGTGTCCTACAGCCTGAGCGGTCCCTCAGAGAAAAAGGCTGTAGGGTGGATACCGTACCTCCTGTCGCACACTGCCACACAACAGCACCTAGCCTCTAAGGTGGCCCAGGCTTCCTCTGCATGTACCTTCAGGTGTGGTTGCACTAGACTCCAGACCCTTCAGACTGTGTTTGCACAGCCCACCCTAGTCTTCTTCCTGGGTGTGATCTGAAGCCCGAGCTTCACACCTAGCCCTCACATGCACCAGTGGACACACGTCTCAGGCTGGGGGTGTAGAGGGGTGGTGCTGACCCTCTGTGCAGACCTCTCTCTATTCGAGCTGCTGCAGACCAGTTGCTGTATTCTCCTCTGAGGCTCTGAAGCTCTCATCTGTCCTGGCTGACGTCCTACTAGTGAGGGGAGTTCCCAGGGTGCAGGAACCTTTCCTATTTCACAGCTTGCTCCCTGGGGTACAGGTCCCAACCCAGTTCCTTTCTCACTTTCTTTTGTCTTCTGTTCTACCCGGTTATGCTTATGTGGAGATTTTCTTGTTCTTTCAGAGGTCTGAGGTCTCCCACCAGCGTTCAGTAGATATTCCGTGAGCACAGTCCAACATGTAGATGTATTTTTGATGTACTTGTGGGAGGAGGTGAGCTTCATGTTCCTCTACTCCGCCATCTTGATCACTGCCCCATATCTCATTTTTAAAAAGGTCCCAACCAAATAGCCCTTTTGTGGCAAAAAGATTGATGAAATGTATAGATGGAGATCATAGTCTCTGTTTTCCTCCCTTGAAACCAAGGACATGAGCAGTGCTGAGTCTGTTTAATCAGTGTGTGGTTTCTAAGGAAGGAAGGTTTGATCTCAGGTGTACCTGTCAGGTGTCCCTGGGAGCTGCCCTGCTCAAGGTGTCCACTTACAGTCTCACCTGAATTCACAACACTTAGTCTCCTTGTAAATGAAAAAACAAAAGCCAAAGACATCTGTGAATGCAGTTTGGGATGCTCTTGGCACTTCTTTATTAAACTGATCAAGCAGTTTAATTTGATAGCTTTTCGTCAGGCCTTCCGCTTGCAGTGTTGTGGGATGATGAGTGTATTGTGATCACTTCCATTCTTTGTCATCGTCTGTGTAGGCTGAGAGGATCATGGAGGCTGTTGAGCTGTACCGAGAAGAAACTGCAAAAATGAGAGAGCACAAAGCTATCTGTAAAGCTGCAGGGAAAGAGGTGAGACCGTTCACTAAGTTACATCCTGAGCAGCATTTATTTATAGAGATAATTGCTGAGGAAGAAACATCATTTGTATGGATGTGATAGAAACTTTTCTAATTCAAACATTAGAAAGAAAGAATTGAGAAGCTCTATCTCAATAAAAAGCCAAAGATAGTTGATTTGAAATCGAGGTGATTACTGTATTGAGTTGGAAACTCAGGTTCCTGCTTTAGTTTGGGAGGCTGGTGAACCGTTTTGGATTTCTAAATGAAATGTATTACCCAGACTCATTCATAAGCCCTATTGAAACTAAAAATATATTCTTAAATAATAATTCTTTGGCGTCAGTTTTTAGGGTCTCCTTCAGAACTATAAAACACTATTATGACCCTGCCTGAGATAAGCACTATCAAAGGCTATTTTTTAATGACTTGATTTAATCATTTCTTCATAGGTTCCTCCTCCCATCAACCCCATCCTGATGGCTTATGGCAATATCTCTGTAAGTAGAATGTTAATGGTTTCTCCCTTAAGGTTTAACCACCATTCTAAGGTTAAATTAAGGCAGGCACAAGAGAGGACCTGAAGAGGCATTAGATTTGAGAATTGACATATTGGGAAATACTTTGTTGTTAAAAATCTCTGTTGAATGTTGGAATCCTTTAGGATATTTTGTATTTCAAAAGGACCATTTTGTTTGTTTTTGTATTCTTTTAGTGCTTATTTATGTTTAGTATCCAAAGTGCTATCTGAAGATTCTGTTCATTGAAGCTGAAGTTTTTGGACAGAAAGTTGTTACAAATCAGTCAGATAGAAGAGGAGAGAGGGAGAATAGAGGGACAGTGTATACTTTTAGTTATCTTTAATTACTCAATACTTTGCTTTCGCGGTTCATCCTTCACAATAGTAATACAGGTCAGTGTCTTCATTTTATAGACAGGAAACTGTCCTGACTTACAGACTGAAGGTAACATAGTTGGCAAGTGGCAGAGTGTGATTGTGAACCCAGATCTGACTCAGTCTAAGCCCATGCACGTATTGCCATTTTTAGAACATGGTTTGTCCTGAGAGAAATCCCTGGTTTTTAGGAGCTAGAGATTAGAGACCTTCAGTTAAGAAATAGAAGTATCACTAATGCTGTCACACTTCCATTCTAGCCTTCAGCTTATGTGTTGGAGATTTTTAAAGGAATCAAATCCAGGTGAGTGTCAGTGCACGGATTATTGTAAGTTGGCAGCTAACACCATTTTCTGAACATGGGATAAGAACATTATAATTGATGATTAATTGATGGTTATTCCTTAGAGGGTTAACTATGTCAAACTTGGATGGAAAATAATTCATTATAATGTTCTTTTTGAATTAGAACTACAAAGCTCCTCCTAAAATATGAAGGGAGATACTTTTAAGGACAAATGAAGGGCAGTGTTACTTTACATCATAGGTAATGAGATTATTTGCAATTCAGTCAGAGGTACCAACTATTAACATTTTTTATTGTATATTTCCTTTGAATTGTTTTCTGTGTACGTACAGAGTTGAAATCATATGTATACATTTTTATATCCTGTCCTTTTTCACAGGATAGTTCTAAGCATTTGCTCACATTAGTAATTTTCTTCAGAAACACATCATTGAATTAATTCAAAATATTCCATTGTACATATAGTTACTATTAGGTGTTGCATAAGGGTTTTGCTATTATTAATACTGCTTCAGTGAACACCTTTACATATAAATCTTTGCCATCCTCATTGATTATTTTCTTAACGGTCCTAGCAGTCTGTTAACTAATTAATGGACATGAACTTTTCAAATGTTTATGTTGCTTACTTTCCAGAGTGCCTGTAATGACTTTCACCAGGCTTTTAAAACTTCTTTGCTGGTTTGAGAGGCAAAAAGTGGTATCATTTTCATTTTTAATTAACAAAGTTAAAATTTTATTATATTTATTGGGCATTTGTATTTTTTCCTGTGAATTTTTACTTTCCCATTCTTGTGCTTTATAGATGTTTTTCTTACTGGTTAAGAATTTTTTTTATATCTTTTGTCATTTTTGGAATAATGTTTCTTTGTGATTTATCTTTTGGTTTTATTCGAGTTTGACCTACGTAGTTATCATTTTTATAACAGATCACAGTATCTGAATATGTCCCATATAAGAATTAAATGAACCCAAGATAATGAAACTTTGCTAGAGAAATGTAAAGTAGAATTTAGATTAATGGAGGTAGGGTGCATTCATAGATGGGAAGACTCTTGTGTTTAAAGATTTAGTTTTTCTTAAGCTAATCTATTAGGTTTGTGATCCCAATTGAAAGTCTCTTGAGAATTCTAAGAGGAATTGATGGAATGATAATCGAACTAGCTCAAGAAAAGTAAACAAACCAACCCAGAACAAGAAAGAGATGAAAGAACTATAAAAACAACAAAATTGAAACAGTACAGGATTGTCAGAATCAGTCATCAAAACAGACTCTAAAGCCCTGAAGCAGGCTCTGTCGTACAGAAGGACTCAATGAAGATAGGATACTCAATAAAAAGCTTTGAAGAAATGAGTTATCTGAAAGAAAAAAAGATTCTCCTACACTGCCATGGACCAAAATGCATCAACTAGGTTAAAATACTAAATATAAGAAAAATAAAACACTGAAAAGAGCGAGCCATCCATAGTATAGATGATAACTCTGGATGGGTAAGATCTATTAAAGTATGTAAAAGGAGAAGAAAAAAATTGGAGGGGAAAAGATTTTTAAATTGACCATGTAAAGAAAGGTGACGTTTTTAATGTTTGTCTTTCCCTCTCCAGTGAGCTGGAAGAATCTCTCCTCGTGCTGCCTTTCTCTTACGTCCCAGACATTCTCAGGCTCTTCAATGAATTCATCCAGCAGGGCTCCGACATTGAACTCCTGTGTAGGTGCCTCTTCTTTCTCCTCAGGTAACGACGCCCTTTCCCAGAAGAACATCGTATGTCTCATGAGCATAACTCCTCCAGTGGTGCCTCACCTGAAGCTTTCTCCATACTTTGTGATTAAGAAATGTGACACTTCAGTTTCAGAGACTGTTAGGAATTTCAGTGCTCCCAGCACAGATGATTTCTTATCCTTTGGTGTCGGTCTTGCTTGTAAGGTGCCGATAGTGATGACCCACCACCTGAAGTAACGGGAGGTACTATGCTGCTCAGGATGCTCGGGCAGGCGGAGGTCTCCGAGTTCCAGTCCAAGGCAGTGGCCCTGGTTCTGGGTAGGGTGCTGAAAGCCCATCCCTGAATGACCAGTCTCCTTCAGTGGTGTTTCTTTTTAAACTAAATGGTTTGATTTTGTTTCCATAAGAGAATTTTAAGGAGTAGTCAGCTTATTTCCCAGGCCTCTACAAATGCAAATGGAAGAGCAGTGGCATATTTGGAGGGAACCAAGAAACATAACTGCTTCCCCGGTAGCTTGGACAGTAAAGGTTATGCCTGCAATGCAGGAGACCTGGCTTCAATCCCTGGGTTGTGAAGATGCCCTGGAGAAGGGAAAGGCTACACATTCCAGTCTTCTTGTCTGGGAAACCCCACAGACAGAGGGGCCTGGCAGGCTGCAGTCCATGGAATCGAAAAGAGTCAGACACAACTGAGCAACTAAGCATTCAAGAAACATAAAGAAAATGTTCATTACATTATATTCTTAAATAGGAAGAATTTGTATTAAATATGTAACAGAGGAAAAACGTATTTACAAAGGCTTAGTATATTCTTGGTAAAGGAAATGGCAGCCCACTCCAGTATTCTTGCCTGGAGAATCCCATGGACAGGGGAGCCTGGTGGGCTGCAGTCCCTGGGGTCATGGAGAGTCAGACATGACTGGGTGAGTAGCGCACACGCACGGTACATTCTTATCTCCCACTCTGCCCCCCAGTCTCAAGCTGTTGTGTAAGAGAACAGGAAAACTGGCAGATCTGAACATTCCTTAAAATGCTGCTAGGAAAACAGCAGGAACTGCTCAGCCAGTACCAAGTAGTTAAAGAAAATGGTGTACTTGGTAAATTGGCATTTTTTCCTGAGCCTTAACCCTTCATTCCTTTTTCTTTCTTTCATGAGAGTAGCAAGTGAAGATATACACGTTAACAGTGTATTTCTTATTGCTGTNCTCAGCCAGTACCAAGTAGTTAAAGAAAATGGTGTACTTGGTAAATTGGCATTTTTTCCTGAGCCTTAACCCTTCATTCCTTTTTCTTTCTTTCAGGATAGTAGCAAGTGGAGATATACACGTTAACAGTGTATTTCTTATTGCTGTGGCATATGTTGAATCAGGGTTACTGGTTCTAAGAGAAACACTGAATATTTCTAGCATGTTGGGATTGTAGATGGGTGCTACCTCGCAGGTAGATATGGCAGGTCACAGCTTGGATGAGGGTGAGCATGGAAGTTAAAAACCATGAAGTCATCCAGACTTCATTTTGGTCAGAATTTGATCATCTCTCTCTCTCTCTCTCTCTTTTTTTTTTTTGGCTGAAATATAAATCTTTGAGTTAGTGTTTCTTAGAAGGCTCATTTTCCCTCTGAAATCCCTGTAGAATACTGTTGTTAAAAATCTGTGGCCACTTGACAGATTGCTGGGAAAAGTCAGCTTTTTAGATGTTAGGACACTAGGTTTTAAAATTATTAGATAGAGCTAAATAGTAGGGAAGAAACTTCTTAAGCTTTTTTTTGCTAGAACATTTCTATATTCCCATGATGGGTGAAATGATTTTTTTTTTTTTGCTTTGACATTTGTTTCTTTGCTGGTTCTAGGAGGTATAGCCAAACCCAATATTCTTTGTGACAGTGCTTGGTGTTATTTTTCTATTAGGATTCACTTTGGCCAGATCACTAGCAACCAAATGCTTGTGCCAGTGATTGAAAAATTAAAGGAAACAACCATTTCAAAAGTCAGCCAAGTCCGGGTAAGTATAGCCACAGAAGAAGAAGGGGAGGTTCTAGTG